TTTTAGAGAGAAAGGGAGAGGGAGAGAGAGAGAAACATCAATGATGAGAGAGAATCATTGGTAGGCTGCCTCCTACATGCCCTCCACTGGGGATTGAGCCTGCAACCTGGGCATGTGCCCTGACCGGAATCAAACAGTGACCTCCTGGTTCTTAGGTTGAAGCTAAACCGCAATGCCACACTGGCCGGGCTCCTTCCTCTTCTATAGAGAATGTCCTCCATGCTGTGTCCCTCATATACCTCTGTTTGCTTGAGGTTGGAGCAGTTAAGATAGAACAGGACAGCCTGGAAGGAGTAGCTCTGAGACCACATGCAGCCTGACGGAGTCTTGAAAGGTCAGGGGTCCTGGCTTGAGAGAATGGCTTGAGTGCAGGGCTCCAGTCACTCACCTCTAGCTGCATACAGACTCCTGCAAAACTTAAGCACTTAAACAGTGACAATGTTGCCCTGGTCAGTGTGGCTCAGTCGGTTGAGCATCATGTCCCATGCACCGAGAAGTCACCAGTTGGATTCTGGTCCGGGCATGTGCCAGGGTTGCAGGCTCCATCCCAATGTGTAGGTGTTAGATCTGATCAAATAATTGAATCAACACTCCCTCCCCTGGGAACTAACCTTTAGACCACTTCACAACCAACACTCCCTTTTGCTTAGACCATATTCCACTTGCTAAGACCACATTCCACTTGCTAAGACCATTCATCTTTTGCCGCAGGACCCGACCAGAGAATTCTCTGCCCAGAAAAAGCCTGCCTAGAGTCCTTTAAAATCTCTGACTCCTCGTCCCTGGGTGCTGGCGCCATTTTGGGGCTCAGCCCATCTGGTTTTCCAGATGACCTAATCATTTCATAATTCTTTACTTTTTTTGGCCTCTTCCATTTCTCCTTCAGCGACCCTACAGGAGGCAGACTATCAATATTTCTCTCTCTCTCCCCCCCCTTCCTCTCTCTCTCAAATCAATAAAAACATTAAAAAAAACACACCCCACTAAACATCTTAATTTACAAAGGTAAAATTAAAAAAACAAACACAGCCCAGCCAGTGTGGCTCAGTGGTTGAGCATCAACCTATGAACCAGGAGGTTCGATTCCCGGTCAGGGCACATGCCCAGGTTGCAGGCTTGATCCCCAGTCAGGGGTGTATATGAAGCCGCCGATCAATGATTCTCTCATCATTGATGTTTCTATTTCTCTCTCCCTCTTCCTTCCTCTCTGAAATCAATGAAAATATGTATATTAAAAAAATAAAGTGACAATATTGATCATCTCTTGCTTCTGTGTTAGAGAACATTTGTTCACTCAACAGGTCTTTCTTAAGTGCCAGGGCCAGGCAGTGCTATGGGCCAGGGATACAGCAATGAACCAGAGAGACCAGGTCCCTGCTTTCCTGGGTTTTGGAGTCCTTTGTGTGGGCATGTGACAGAGCATAAGCAGGCAAACAGTCCTCTGTTGAACAATCTGTGGACAATTGGTAAAGAGCTTTATTTCTCCTCTGAACCCTAATCCTATCTCTTCAAACATGTTATTGGACTAGCTGAGCAATCCTGGGCTGACCCCTTTGTTTTCTGGGGACCACCGTAAGATAATAATTTTTAAAAAGTGCTTTGGTTACTTTTAGTTAATCTGCATCTGAATCGAAAAGGAAATGGGCAAGGGGTGAGTGAAGGGTCGGGTGCAGTCTTGGCTGCCTGGGCTGTGGCAGTGCTAGGTGAGTGCTTCCTCACGGGCTCTCTGACAGTCTCTACTGTTCCCTCTCCTCCGTGGCTCCCTTCCACCTAAAGACGAGCGTCTGCATATGAATCTCTTTCCTGTTGCTTTTGGCTGAGATTGCCTTGCTCCCTGTAGGACTCACCCTTGGGTGGGATCCACAAAACCGGATCATGTTCACCTCCTTTGTAAATTCTACTTAGATAGCCCTTCATCTTTCTGGGAAAGGTGGGGCACAGTTAGCACCTAGAATTGGGGACATCTGTCAAAACAGGGACAGAAGGATTCCCATTTTAACATCTGGTCATAAATACATAAGCAAACAAAACACTCCAATGTGGATAATGCCACACGAGGCAGATTGTGAGGGGTTGTACAGTGGTGGGCTGTGGAGGGTAGAAAGCTGCCGTGAGACATGGTGCAAACAAATATATGCTTTGTAGTCAGATGATGTGGCTTGGAATGTGGGCTCTAACATTTATTTACTGAATTAAAAAATTGAGGCAAAATATACATAACATAAAACTTATCGTTTTCACCACTGTTAAGTGCACAGGTGAGCGGTGTTGACTACATTCATATTGCTGTGCAGTCACTGCCGTCCCAGACTGCAGAACTTCCCATCATCCCGAATGGAACTCTGTGCCCATTAAACAATAATTCGCCTTTCCCAAGCCTGTGGCGAGCTATTTTCTGTCTCTATAAATTTGGCTACTCTAGGTACCACGTATAAGTGGAATCATACAGCATTTGTCCTTTTGTGTCTTCTGACATTTATTGTATCTGTACGCTAAGGCTAAGTAACAGCCGCCTTTGAGGACATTTGATGTGACCGGATCACTCAGGATATTACTCGGTACAAAGCGTGCCTTCAACAAATGTTTGTTTCATTTGTTCTAATTTATTCAGGGAGGGCGAAAGGACTGTGACCCGGAGCACAGGCAAGATTGTGCGCCTGCGCTCTGCGCACTCTGGAGGGCACACGGGGGCGGGGGGCTGACCCGAGGAGAGCTCTCGCGAGACTGTCAGATGTGCGGCGAGAGACGGGAGGAGAAGGTTGTGCTATCGCGAGAACTCTGCCTTTCGGCCCTCAGCGTGTGTCAGGCGGCGTCTTTGCACCGAAGGTCCCGTCGGATCGTCCGGAGTCGCGTTTGTAGTCGGTAAGAACCGAGTGGCGGAGAGGGCGGGGGCGCCTCCTCCCGAGGGGCCGGC